AGGGAGGGGGTTGGAGACAACGGGTTTCCGGGGCGTGTGGGCGCGGGGTCTGCAGCCGCAGGGCGAGGGTGTCCCCTGCGACCCGAGAGCGCTCCGGAGGCAGGAGATGGGGCCATGGGGGTTTGGGGGAAGACGGTGTGCGCCAGTCCAGGGATGGAGGACCTGGGCTCAGAGCCCCACCGCTCACGGTTGGGGGATGGGCATTGGAAAGCGCGCTGACCTCCTGGGAGCCTTTCCATCGCACCCTCAGCCTCATTCGGATTGTCTGACTCTGGAGCGCAGCGGAGGGTACTAACGAGCACTTGCCCCTTCTCCTGTTTTCAAGACACTCGTTGCCAATTTCCTGGACCAGTAGTCAGAACCTAAATAAGCAATCAGACTGGTTAATTAGCATTTGTTTTGTTGCTTTGGTTTTTTGTTTGTTCGTTTTTGTCTCTCTCCATGCTCTCTACCTTATAGCGAGTCGTCTGCTGTGTTTAAATTTCACCATTAAGAGTGAGCTCTTTTTGTTAAAACAACTTATCATCGGAAGGGAACTTCACAGCTTTTCCTTGTAATTTTTCTGTTGATCTTGTAGAATCTGCGATAAAAACAACATTAAAGGGAGGCCAGGGGCCTGATCCCAACAGTGGAGAAAGTTGACATTAGTGGGAGTTCTGGAGGAGGATCAAAGGTAAAAATATGTACCTTTGAGATAAAGATCTGATCCCTAATAGCTACAACTGTGCAAAGCCAAATGACTTTAAAGAAATCTCTCTATCGTAGCTGGACCCTTGGAAGTTTAATCCTGCTGTTTAGCAGAGCTAAAAAGCCAGACCTTTAATGTTGTTTTAATGGACTTGGCTTATTGTGTGTCTCACTGATTTTAGAATGAGGTCCTGTTGGGGTTAGATTGGAACCTCGATTGTCATCACAGCCAGTTAAGAGAGGAAGGCAAGCTGTGGGTAGGGAATTTATACCAGGGCTCTCATCTCGGGTGATTGTTAACAAGTGATTCAGTCTCCCTAGCATAGGAAACGCTTTCCTAAATTCAGGCAGAAAGAAAACCTCGCTTAAGCAGGGGTGGCTGGCCCTCTACCACATCGTGTGAAGGGAGCCTGTGAATTGGACAGATGGTCTCAAGAGAATAAATGGGACTCAGCAAACCTCCGCTGGGATTTGACCAGCCACCCCCAGCAACGTAGTTGACAGTAGCATTCTTGTCCAGGGTTTTGGGTTTGAAAAAGAATTGGGGGTAACACAGGTGCCTTCCTAACCATTGACTCTGGCACAAAAAACTGTTAGTGGGAGGAGACTCTTCTGAGAGATACCGCCAACCTAACTTACTTGGGACCAAGGCCACAGATTTTTTTTACCGGGCAAGGCACAGGAATGATATTTATTTACTACTCTGGTATGTGGTCCACACTGAGATTTGGGGAGGTGGGGAGAACCGATTCTAGGAATCTAAATCTATATCTGTTGAGCCCCTGCAACGTGCAAGGCACAATCCTAGATGCCCTAAAATTGTGAATGAGTGTGATGACTTTATCTTCATTTGTTTCTGTTAGTTCCAGCCTGGGTTGGGTCTGTGTGTATGTGTTTGTCAAGAGGACACCCAGATTATGTACATAAATCAGTTTTAGCTTATTCATAGCACCTTAGTGAATGCTGTTTTGAAGCAGTTCAGTCAATTAAGAGATAAGGAAAGAGTCTTAAATGGAGCGTACTCTCCTAAATGGCTCTCTTTCTTGGCCCCTGCTTTTCTGACACCAAGAGCTCGTTAACCAAAGTTAGCAAAGCCATGGGTGGCTGGAGAGCGAGTGGACCACATTGCAGCTGCCATCATAACGTCTGATTCTTTTCTGATTTAAGACCCAAAATGTTTATTAGGGACAGCTGAGGTAGGATTTACACTTGCTGCTGTAAACCCACGACATTCAAGTTAGGGCTTCAATATGGAGTCGCATTTTCATTAGATTTCAATATGGAGTCATTCCTGCCGCAGAGCAAGCTTTCCTGTGGTGTATCTTTCACTAGAACTTGGAAAAACCACCAAGCTGAACAAATATACAGAATTTCCTGTTTAGGTGGTTTCTTTTTTAACAATTATACCCTTTTTGGCATGTTGCTAACATCATTCAGTTTTGTTCACTGTTTGAAAAATTCAGAAGGCCTGGGCTATATATAGCACGTACTTGTGTATTCAAACCTTCATTCAGTTATCAGTACTTCCTCAAATCTGTTAACTATATAATGAAGCAGATAGAGAAAGAGAGACCGTTTTGTTGCTGCATTTTTTTTTTTTAATGAAAGACAGTTTTAACCCAGGCAAAGGGATAATTACAGAATTAACCACTGGCAGAGATTTCTCAAGAGAGACTTGGGGAGGAATATTATAACCTGAGAGCGTCTGTGATTAACTGAGAAGTGTTTACATATATACACGTTTTAAAATGCAGAGTTTCAACGCTGTTTTTGTTATAATTCAGGATGTAGCTCTTTGTGCCTCTGGGGGAACAAAGGCATTTGATAAACCTGTTGTATTCTGGCTGCCCTTGGGAGGAGTCCCTGTGTCTGCCTGGGAAGGTCGCCTAGTAGGTGTTTAAGTACTGTTGGCTTGCTGCTGCTGAATTTACTTTCAATTCCTTGTGCGCCAAAGGATCAGGAAAGGGTTGCTAGATATTACGGGTTGTAGCCCCTTGAGGCAGGGCGATGCATGCATGGTGCCCTGGCTGGCGCCTGGCCAGATGGCATATAACAAAGCCAGTGGAGAAAAGCTCTCCAAGAGCCGAGAATGGCTGAAAAGGGTCTGCAGCTGTTGACACCCCCTCCTCCCCCCCAACACTACCACCTCTGCAAGGAGTGTTCCTTAGGTTTGCATTTAGGGAAGGCCTGAAAATGAATCAGCTCCCCTGCTCCCTCTTCCCAGGGGAATTTGTGGAAAGTACTTAATCGAGGACAAAACAACTTACACGGTAGAATAAAGCCAGTTGCAACGGGCTTTGCCCGCGACTCTGCAGTTCAGAGACTTAGCTGGGCTCTGCATGCACTGACCCAGAGTGTGGGCGAGTAAGCATGAAATGGTCTTACTGCTCCCGTTGGCTCCTCCAGGTTTGGAGAAGGAAGGATCTGTCAGCCAGCCCAGTGCAGAGGTTGCGGTGAAGCCGGAGAGGCCTCCTTGCCCAACCCTCTTTGAAGCACCAAATAGTACTGAATAGAATTTGTTTTCCAAGCCGAGCACGTTAAACAAATTTATCATACAAACTTGTAAATAATTATGTCACTTACCCATATCTTATGAACATTTCTTTGCGTCAGTGATACAAATCTACATAATCATGTTTAACGACTGCCAGAAGTCCCACTGTGGGTGGACCATAGGTTAATCATCCTTTATCGTTTGATGTCTTGAGAAGTTCTAATTCTGAGGAGTTATAAACATGAGCTTTCCAGTACAGTAGCTACTAGCCACCTGTGGCTATTTACATTTACGTTTGAATTCATTAAAAAACTAAAATTAGTTTAAAAACTTTAAAAATCAGCTCCTAAATTGCCCTTGCCACAAGTGCTCAAGAGCCACGTGTGCCTAGTGGCTGGCCTGCATCGGACAGCCCAGAGACAACATTTCCACCACTGCAGAAAGTTCTTCAGGACAGCTCTGGTATAAACATGAATTTGAATGAACATCTTTGAGCAGGCATTTTCAAACATGCTAGATTGTCCCTCTAGGATAAATTTCTAGCATTGGAATTGCTTTGCTCAAACATTAGACACATTTTTAGCATTAACATTTCCTTTAAACCTGCTGTTAAATTACTCTGCAGAAAGTTATTGACATTTGCCCTTCCGTCACCAGAAAGTGTGAGTGTTCCTTTTGCCCCCTCCCATGCCAACACCGGTAATTAGTATTTTTTAACCTCTGCAATCTGGTAGGCAGTAAACGGCATATCACCTTTCTAATTTGCATTCCTCTCATTAGTCTTGAAGTTGACCAGGTT